TGTGCGCGTGCGCGTGTCCGTGTGCACGTGCGTCCGTGTGCGTGTGCGCGTGTCCGTGTGCGCGTGCGCGTGTCCGTGTGCACGTGCGTCCGTGTGCGTGTGCGCGTGTCCGTGTGCACGTGCGTGCGTGTCCGTGTGCGTGTGCGCGTGTCCGTGTGCGCGTGCGCGTGTCCGTGTGCGCGTGCGTGTGTGTCTGTGTCCGTGTGCGCGTGTCCGCGTGTGCGTGCGTCCGTGTGTGCGTGCGCGTGCGTCCGTGTGTGCGTGCGCGTGCGTCCGTGTGTGCGTGCGCGTGTGTCCGTGTGCGCACGGAGCGGGAAGATGCAGTCGGCTCCAGCCCAGGAGAGGGACTCACTGTTTACCTCCCCGCACCCAGACTCCCAGGAGAGGCTCTGCAGACCCTGAGTCCAAACCCGGGGAGCCCCCCTGGGAGGGAGGCCTCGACCGGGCTGGGGATAGGCCTGCGGGTCCCTGCACCTGGGCCATGCGGTCCAGAGCAGCAGGGCAGGGACCTGGCTGCTGGCAGGGGGAGGGTGGCGTCTCATGCAGGTGAGAGGCCACCTGACCCAGAGGCCAACATCTCCTCCTGTCCTCCCTGTCCTCAGCGGGACAACATGGCTGATGTGCGGCTGTCCCCAAGTCCTTGTGACATTCCCAGGGGTGGGAGTGGGGAAACCTGTCAACTCCTGAATCCACACTTTCCCCAAACTTGGGGCCTTTGGAAGGTGGCGCCAACCCAGGCAAGGAGTGGGTCTAGTGCCACATAGCGAGGGATGCTGCTTGGCTGGAGGGGCTGTGGCGGGGCAGGGCCTATCCGACGCTCCCCGCTCCCTCCCGGCCCACCCCAGAAGCGGCTGCCTGAGGCCCCGGAACAGAGGCCTCCGCGGGGTCAGGACCACCGCAGGCCTATGGGCCACAGAGGCTTTCAGGGAGGGCGTGCAGGGCCTGGGCCCTTCCCCTGCCCCGCCCCCCAGAAACACCGCCAAGTACTCCTCTCTGGGCTCCCCACACTTGCCTGTCATGTAGGCCAAGAAACATGAACCTACATATGTGCACACACACACACACACGCAGTTACACACGTGCACCGCATGCACGAGCACACGAGCGTGCACACGACACCCACACTCCGTTCTCTCCCTCCTGTCTTCTGAATCACACCCACCCAGCTGTCTGCCACCAGGGCCCAGGCATGGCCGCCCTCCAGCCGCATGGCCGCTACACCCTCTGTGACACTGGGTGGGTCTGGGGGGACACGAGGTGGGGGTACAGCAAGCTTGTCCCCCTCTGCAGGGACCATGGGACAGACCTTTAGGGCACAGCCTCAGGCTGGCAGTGACAGCTGTGTCCCAGCCCAGCCTGGGCTGCCTCAGAGCATGGTCTGGTGGGACACTGGGGGACTGAGAGAGGACCAAGCCCCTGCAGGGACAGTCCCGGCCCCTCTTGACCACGGGACCCGGAGGGCACTGAGGGCTCCGTGACTATGGCGGCATCTGTCTTAGAGGGAGGAGCAGCTGCCCCAGGCAGGTGTCCCATCACACAGGTAACAGCACCCCAGCCTTGTGGCCATCAAGAGGCCACTAGGGGCCGCCCGAAGCCCAGGGCCCCGCCCACCCACTTCCAGGGCCCCAGCGGCAGTGACTCATGGGCAGCTAAATATAGCCGCACAGTGGGAGCGGCCAGGGACGGACGGGGATGAGCTCACCGCTCCTGAATCAGGCAGGAAGGAAGAGGCACCAGAGGCCCCAAAGCCCGCACGTCGGACGTCACACACGCACACGCGTGGACACACACAGACACACATACATGCACACACCCCCAGGAACCGCACGTGCTCACGAGGACACACACACTCACGCCAGTCGGCTGTGATGAGGACCCCAGGGAACACCTACAAAGGAAGGGCCATGACCGCCCCTCAGGTCCTCTCCTCCCTCACCCCTGCGCCCCGCCCGAAGGGCCCAGGTGGCAGCCCCAAGCTTGTGGGACTCCAGACACAGCCGGTGGGAGGCTGTGCTGGTGAGCCTGGAAGGGAGGAGGCCTGGGAGGCAGGGGCTGAGGAAGCCTCGGATGCCCCCCTTCCTGCCCCTCCCCTGCCCACCCCAGAGCCATGCAGGGGAGCGTCCCCAGCTCAGACACTTACAGATCAAAGACCAGGTAGTGGAACCCTTCCTCAGAGATGCTGTCGTGCAGCCGCACTGTGGGGACAGAAAAGGCCATGAGGGGCTGGCCCAGCCCAGGACCCGCCCTCGCCACGCAGCACCCCTCCTTCATGGAGGGGGCCCACCCATCCCGACAAGGGCCTGGGGCTCCCCACAGTGCGGGGGGGGGGTGGCGCTGCAGGACAGAGCCCAACGGGAGAGCCGTGGATCCCAGGCGGACATCCAGGGGGCTCTAGGTGTCCGAGGTCCCCTCTCCTCTGCCAGACAGAGACTTGGGCCCCTCTCAGCCCCCAGCCAGGGCACAGGGGGCCGCAGGAGGGGTGGGGCCCTAGGGTTGCGGCTCGCTGGACCAGGCCCTGGAAAGGAGCCACTCACAGGACAGGAGCACTGGGGGGCCCTGTCACCTGCCTCTTGGGACAAGCAAAAGCCGTCCAGTGTGGCAGCACTTCCGAAAGCTCGGGCCCTGGGTTTGGGCCCCAGGTGCTCCCCAGCCTGGCTGGCCTGCTGTGCGCGTCCCTAAGCCTGGAGCAGCGCCCAGCCCGAGGGTGCCGGCCAGCATCCAGGAGCCAGCGAGTGGACAGCGCACAAGGCCAGCGCGCGCCCGCCACCCCGTGGAGCCGGAGACGCACCCCACGCTGAACAGCACGCTTCTCTAGGAACGGATCACTCTGCATACCGCCCCCTGTGCCAGACCCTGCCTCCAGCAGACGCCGCCCCGAGCGCCCGCCTGCTCACCAGCACGCGAGGGGCCGCGCACACAGCGAAGAGACACGGTTCCCCGGAGGCCAAGCAGCGTGCAGAGTGGGGCTGGGAACCCCCGGGGCTGTGGCTCCTTGGGCCTCTCCCCGCAGGGCAGGCCGTCAGCGCCAGGAGGGTTGGCCGCAGCCCCTTGCTCGCGCCCTCCACACTGCCCTCGTGGCCTGCCCTGCAGGTCTCCTCCTTCCTCCCGCTGTAACCTTCCCGGGGGCCCGGCCGGCAGCGTCTTCATGCCTGGAAGCACAGTCCAGCAGCAGCGGTGGCTGACCCAGGCTGAAGTCAGGCACCAAGACCGGGCTCCTGCCCAAGAGGTCGGGGTGTCTGGTCACCGGGGAGGGGCACCCGTGCCAACTCCGGGGCCAGCTCCTCTGGCAGCTGCCCTCCCGTTTCTGGCTCTGTGGCTCTGCTCAAGGGCCTGGCGTCCAGCCTTGCCCCGTTCGGCTTCACCCCTCCTTCTGGCCCCATGATTGTGATGCAAGGTTTTCCCGGGTCCCCGGCCTCCGCCAGCTACCTGGGCTTCATCCCCTCTCCCAGGGATGTCACGGAGACCTCCGGGCGTGCAAAGCCAATGCTGACCTCCCTCCTACCCCTGATGCCCTCAGGCTGGCCTAATTCTCCCCAGCACCCAGCAGAGCCCTGCCCACAGCACCGTCCTTCCAGGACTGTCTGGGAAATCGGTGCAGGGAACAGACGTTCACCCCCTCTAGGTGTGGCCTCCTTGGCCCAGCCGCCTGCCCTGGCACACAGAGCAAGGAAGGCCCAGGGGCCCCAGAGGGACATTCCTGGGGGCCTTCCTCGCCTTCCCTGGGGGATCCCCAGCAGTCCAGGATGGCTACAGGAGGCCCCGGCCCCCAGTGCTGGTGGGAGGGGGTTGAGCTCCTAGGCCTGCTGGCGGGTCCCACCTCCTCGCCTAGGAGACACGGGGCGCCTGGGCGACGTGGAGGCTGTGTGCACTTGAACCCTTTTTAAAAAAAAAAACATTTTTAACATTTAACAAGCAGTCGCACATTATTTTAACAGTTTAGAAGGAACGCTATCTAGCATATCAGACTGATTCCGACAGAGCTGAGGCTGCCGAAAGTGACTTGCCGCAAAATCCGCCCAAGTAAAGCAGGACGCTCGTGACACCAGGTAGGGCGCGCGGCCTCGACGCGGTCCCGCGCACTCCCAAGAGCCCAGCCCAAAAGCCCCGTGGGGCCTCCACACAGAGGGCACAGGGGTGCACCCAGGACGCTCCCCTCGCCAGGGCCACAGCTCTTCCAGGGCCTGTCCCTGAGTCCCGGGCCGAGGCGTTCTCAGGGGCGGGTCCCTCCACCCTCCCAGGCAGCCTCTGGACTGCCCCGGGAATGCCCTTGCTGCCTGCGGCAGGAGGGCTGGCCCAGATGCGTAACTTCACCAGCTGCGGGGCTGAGCAGCAGGAGACCGGAGACCCTTCTCCACTGTCCAGGCAGGAAGCTCCCCCATGGCATGTCCTCCATGGTGCCCACCTGCCCAGCTCAGGGGTGAACCACCCAGCAAAGGACCTCAGTTCCCACCCCAGAAACCATAAGGTGGAGACTTGCCATCACTGAGCCAGGTCCTGAAGAGAAAAGGTCACTGCAGAGGCAGGCTAAGTGCAGGTTGTGGGGAGGCTGGGGGGAGGCTGGGGGAGGCTGGGAGGAGGCTGAGTGCAGGTTGTGGGGAGGCTGCTGGGAGACTGGGGAGACGCTGGGATGAGACTGGGAGGCTGGAGGGAGGCTCAGGGGAGGCTGGAGGGAGGCTGAGGGGAGGCTGGGGAGGTTGAAGGGAGATCGGGGAGGCGGGGGGAGGTTGGGGGAGAATGGAGAAAGGCTAGAAGGAGGCTGGAGGGAGGCTGGAGAGTGAGGGAGAGTGGGGGAGGTTGGGGGAGAGTGGGGAAGGCTGGGGGGTTGGAGGAGGCTGAGGCGAACACTGGGTCAGGCATCCCAGACACCCAGGCCTACTCCGTCCCCACAAAAGGCACTGCTGAAGCCAGGCCACACAGCTGCGTCCTCTGTGCAGCAGCCCCCTTGTCTCTGAGGAGAACCTGCACCCACTGGGGAGTGCTCTGCCCGGATGGCTGGTGACGGGCGGCTGGCCCCGTGGAGCCTGCTCCCAGCGTGACAGGTCAGCAGAGGCCTCACGTGCCCGCGGCAGGGATGGGCCCCTGCTGCGCGGACAGTGTCGCTCCCTCCCCTCATGTGCGGCAGGGCGGTGGCGCGGCCCCAGCCTGGCTCGAGGAGCACGGTGGGCCCGCAGAGCGACCCCTGCCGACCTGCCAGCGGCCAGCCGTTCCACTGCTGCGCATGTCACCAAAGGTGGGAGCGCGGGAGCCACACGGGTGCCCACCCCCCAAGCGCCACCACGTCCATGGCAGCCCTGTGTGTGAGGCCGACGGGTGGCAAGAAGCCTCGGGTCCGCTGTCAGGTGAGCGGAGGCCGACTGCGCTCCGTCCACACGGCCGGCTATGATGGAGTCTGGAAAAGCAAGGAAATCCCGTAACTCGCTTCAACAGGGACGGACGCTGAGGGCACGACGCTGAGCGGAACGAGCGTGACGAAGGGACCAATGTGTGATCCCACCACCGTGAGGGTCCTCGTGGAACCAACCCACAGACACAGCGCATGGCGGTTCCCCGGGCCTGGGCGGCCGATGGGAGGTCGTGTTTCCCGGGCGCAGACCGGGACGACGAGAAGTGTGGACACAGAGAGTGGCAGTGACCATGTAACGCTGTGAACACACGCTGCCACCGAACCCCACACTCTAAGGTGTCAGAGTTCTCAATCTCCCTCCCTTACCTGTCCGGCTCCCTCTGAGTCCCTGTCATTACGCACTCTGGGGACCTCCTGCCATGTGCTAAAGACACGCACGTGGTCCTGATGAGACCCCGGCAACCACGTGAGCCACGGCCTGCGAGCAAACCCCAGACACGCAGTCAAACCTTCACAGACGCAGCTCGGGCCGGTGTCCACACCGCACGGGAGCCCCGGAGTTGCCGCCCAGGCCCAGGCCCAGGCCCGTCCTGCTTTCTCGAGCCCCACACGGCCATTCTCCACGGATCCCACAGGCTGTGTACCAGGCCCGAGCCCCCAGCCCCACAGCTCTCGAACCCACAGACAATCAGCGCCCGTGGGCTGAGCTTTGCTGCCTGTTATGCAGCACACGTGACTGACTCATGTGGGTTAAGAGCCACAGAAGCTGTGGCCTGGGCAGCCCCGCTCGCCACACACAGACCCTGCGGGGGCTCAGAGCCGCAACAGCCCGTCCGCAGGAAGGCTGGGCCCCCGCCGTGACTCTGACCCTGAGCCTCCCCGAGTCCCCTCTGCAGGCCGGGGCTCACTGCGCCTGATGTCCACCTGACTCCTCTCTCAGGGCCTCCCAGGGACTCCCTGGAGGGCCCATCTCCACTCCACAGTTGGGGAAACGGAGGCTCCTTCCCCCCCAACGCTCTGAACACAGTTGCTCCGAGGAACAGCCCCTCCCAGAGCCCCTGCCCTGCACCAGTGGGATGAACAACGTCCCACTGCCTGTCCCAGGGGCACTGGGGACAATTCTGTCTACAGTGGGGCTGGGAAGACCCAGGCCTGGGAGCAAGGGGACCCCTTCACCTCCCCCTAGACCTCTCCCACTACTCCCCAGAGTATTCTCAGAGAATGTTCCTTCTGCACCTCTGTCTCAGCTCTGCCTCCCCATGTTCTAGAATGTTCCTTCTGCACCCTCATCAGCTCTGCCTGCCCCACGTTCTGGAATGTTCCCTCTGCATCCCCCTCGCCTCAGCTCTGCCTCCCCTGTGTTCTGGAATGTTCTCTCTGCAGCCCCCCCCCCCCCCAGTCTTGGCTCTGCCGCCTGTGCTCTGGAATAAAGCTGCTATGAAGACTCAGGGACTGATCATAGCTGACCCGGAACAACATGGGCCTCCAGGCAGGGCAAGGAGTGGTCTTTTGAAGATCTCAAACACCCACCCAGAGAACACTGGGGTCCTCCCCTATTAGAAGGGAATTCCTGACCCACTCTTGGCTGGTGCTCAGACATGCAGGGGAGGCGACTGGCAAGGGGTGGCGCTGGGGGTGAGCTGGTGCCTGCTGCTGGGCTCCGACGCACAGAGCGCAACAGAGGGGCAGCGGAGGGTCTGACGGAAGCCCACCGTGGCCCACGTGCTCCCCCCACCCCGCCAGTGAAGAGTGACTGGGGTCCTATGGACGTCGGCATCAGAACCACCAGGCTCACTGGGGAAGGTTCCGGTTCCTGGGCCCACACCAGGCCTCTGAGTCAGGAGCCTGCACGCCAATGGGCCCAACACACACAGCTTGAGAATCTGCAAGTGCAAGTGCCCGGCCCGGGCCCAGGGCTGGAGCTGCCTGCGGTCACGGTGGGGGACTGTCTGGAAGTGGGGGTCTGCCTTCACCGCCGCTCCCACAGGTCCTGCAGGGCACAGCCTCAGGGCGGAGCTCCCAGGACTGGCTCTGAGGAGAGGCCGAGGCTTCCTACAGCCTCCTGGGCTCCCCACGGCTGAGGCCCCGGCCTGGGAGCTGGGAGTGGCATGTACCTCCCCCCAGGCCAGGGGCTCCAGAGGTGACCGAGCCACCCCACCTGCCATTCCTTTTAAACAGAGTCCTGGGCCCTGTCCTGGCCCAACGGAGCTGGAATAGTGGCAGGAGGGGCCCTGAACCCACCTGACCAGCTCCCTGGGTGCCCCCAGAGCAGCAAACCCACTAGCCCCTCTGTGCTTCTTAGCTGCTTCCCACAGGGGGCTCCTTGGAAGTCCCTCCAGAGCCAGAGGTGGGGCCGGGCAGGCAGATGGACACACACACCTGCTCCCTGGGGCACTAGGCAGGGACCACCCCCGAGGGACCACTCCAGAGGGGAGAGTGCTGGTTAAGCGGTCCAGGAGGCCCAAGCTGACTTCCAGGGTCCTGTGGGTGCACAAGGAGGTGATCTGGGCTTTCAGGAAAAGGGCCACTGTCCTTGAGGCCATGACTCCAGGCTCCCCAGGCTCTACACCCCCAGGGCACAGTGGCAACGACCAGCAGGGGACAACGGTGGCTCTCCAGAGCGAGCCCTCAGACCTCAGGCCAGGATGGCACTTGGCCTGGCCTTTGAGGTTTTTGGTTCCCAAACATTTTTCTTCTTAACTGGACTGTCTTGTGGCTTTTCTGAAACCACACGATGTTTCTGCCAGGATCCCAGCTGGAAGTTAGAGTGATAGGCTGGGACCCATCCAGGCAGAGCTGCACAGGCAGCTGCCCAGAACCCCCAGGGCCCCTGTAGGTCAGAAGAGAGAGCCACTGCCAGGTGCCCGAGGATGGGACACTTCTATGGAGAAGGCAAAAGAGGCCTCTGGGTGTCCCTCTGCAGTGTAATCTCTGGGACAGAAAGGCCGCTGGCCAGGGTGCAGAGAGACGGCGCCCCGCCCCACGCCCGAGCTCACCGATATTGGAGTGCTTCAGGAGACGGCAGATCCGAGCCTCTCTCTCCAGCTTCTGGTGATCTGCAGACAGAGAGCAACACAGTGTGACGCCCCGTGCCCCAGCACCGCCAAGACCAGGTTGCCAGACACGCCCCAGCCCGAGGAGGCGCCCACTGCCTCCCTCCGCACGCACCGGCCAACCGCCCAGAGACCCTGGCCGGTGGCACCAGGGCGGGAAGAGGCTGCCAGGGGTTCACCTCGAGAGGCCCAGAGAGGCAGAGGTGGGGAGCCCCAGGCAGTCCAGGAAGAGAAAATGCTGCACATGTCATGGCAGAGCTGACGGAGCCCATCTATGCTTCACCGTGTCCCAATTCCAGACTCCCTGGAGCCTCCTGCTGAAGCCTAGCGTGTCCGCCAGTGGCCGTGGGGCTGGCAGAACGTAGCTGTCGCTGGGCAGGGCTGGCGGCCGGCAGGGTCTCGGGAGCCCTCCCAGCTCCCCGCCGCCCCTCGAGGCCAGCGCTCTTGTTCCAGAGGCCGGCTCTCTGAGGACTGAGCCACTCACCAGAAACATCTATGCCAGACAATCAGGGTAGCAGGAGGATTTTAAAATTTAATGGAGACCTTAAGAGCAAAATACTAGAAAAACCTTCCTTTCCGTTGACTAGAGAAGGCACAATGAAGGTGGTTATGGCCGCACAACAGCACGCGGCCTCCGGCGACAGCAGCACCGCAGCCCCCAACACAGGCCGGGGCACAGCGGCTCACAGAGGGAGACCCAAAATGTGCTTTCGTTCAGAGGTCAGCACACACAGGTGGCTGGGCACACACTGGGGCCAGACCGTCAAGAGGCAGGGGGTTCCCCACTCAGGACGGCGGCTGCTGCAAGGTGGGATGTGCTGGGGGGGCACCAGGGGTCCTGAGCCCCTCAGAGCAAGGGTGTGGGGCGCATGGCGCTGCGCCGGCAGGTCCATGCCACTGGCCCATCCTGGTGGATGCGGCGGCCTTTGCCAGGTATGACAAATGAGCAGGCGACTCCGCACCCTCCCCACACCTGCTGGCCCCCAGCCCTGCCTGGGCTTGGGGGCAACAGACCCGGGCACCAGAAGGCCCTTCTGCAGGAAGGGAGCCTGCTGCCGCATCTGTGGTAGGCTCTCCCTGGGCCACGTGCCAGTGCTGGGCTCGGACAGACTTGTGAACACACCTGTGCTTCTCATGAGCGGGAATGTCACGCCTGCAGACAGGACTCTCTCTGGGACACCTCCGGTCCAGCCGGCCCTCCCTCCTCCCAGCACCAAAGCCCCCGGAAACGCTAGCCCCCCAGCCCTGTGTGGCCAGGCGCCCTGGCACTGGGAGGGCTCTGGCAGAACAGCAGGTGGGCGCTGGCCAGAGGGCCCAAGCCTCACCCCACCCCGCGCTCCCTCCCCTGCACCCCCGGCGCAGCATGCCCAGGTGCCACCCTGTCCCCTCCGCGGCGGGAGCTGAGCCCAGAAGGACCCAGCAGTGCTTGTGACAGCAGGCGCTGGGGGTGGGTCTGAGCGTCACCGTCCGGAAGGACGAGTCCAACACAATCGCAACAGAACACACACAGCATGGATCCCCGTCTGCCATCGGATGAAACTCGGGACAGACGACGCAAGACGTGGCTGAGGGGCCACATCTCATCCCCCATCTTCGTGGGAAGGGGCTGTCGCCACGGCCAGGACCAGACCTGCAGGTGCAGTGGGGGCGACCACAGCCTCACTTTTTTGTTTCTGGGGCTTTCTCTTAAGTGACTACTCTGAACGGTTTTCAGACCTAGAGGAAGTTGCACAGACACTACCATGTCCTCAGAAAAAACACTTGTGCATCATCTGTCCTTCCATACGCACACACTTCTTCTGAGCGTCTGAGAGAAGCCCCGAGGTCCCCATCCTCCTACCAGGCGACAGCCCAGGAACGTGTCCTGAGAGCGAGGGCGCTCTCGGGCATGACCCCAGTGCAGAACATCGAACGCGCTACAGAACAGGAACCAACCCGTCCACGTTCCAATTTTGCCAACCGTCCCAGGACCGTCGGAGCCGCCTCCCCCATGTGTGGATAACACCGGGAAGCCCGCCCGCGTGTGGACCGGGGCGGAGGCAGGGAGAGCTCTCAGGGGGGTCGGGTGGAGGGAGCCAGGGTCGTTTTCATATATAGAGACAGGAGGAAAATGCACGTGGGAATCCCCTTTTCAGAAATACGCAACTGGAGAGACTGTCTTTTCCTCCTGAAAGCTGTCCCTGAGGGCGCAGCCCCATCCCTAGGACTGGCCGACTCCCAAGTGTGCAAGGGGAGGGAAGGGGAGCCTAGCTGATGGGCCGCATGCCCGCACCCACCCGTGGCCCCAGCAGGTCACTGACCTTCCGGGCGGGCTGTCCCCCTTGCTGTTAGGCCAGCCTCATGGGGCGGGGAGAGGCTCTGACATGAAGTCACAACAGGCACGTGAGAGCGTGCACCCCACCCCCAGACCGTGACCGCGTTTCCCCCTAAGAAGCAGAAGCATGGGATCATTCAACAATAAATTACTTTTTTCTTTACATTTTCCCCCAACTTGCAAACAGTCTCATGTTCCTTTTATGATGAGGCAAAATATTGTTTTTAAAAAAGGGTCTGATCCCATCTCCCACAAGCACAAAGCCACTGATTAATGAGGGCATACCCCAAAAACCTGCCACGGCGACATCTGCCTGGAAAGTGCTCATCTAAGCCGACACCCCTGAGCTGGGACGGGACGGGGACGGGAGGCTGTCCCCCTCACGGAGTCAGTGCTCCACTCTGCCCTCAGCCTTTGATCCCTTCCCGCAGCGGTGCCCGAGTTATGACTTAACTTCTGCATCAAGAACCCCATTGCGGTCATGGCGAAGTGAGTCAAATATAACCGAGTCTGGTCCATGAGGAGCACGTCCCGGCCCTAAACGCTCACCTGGACCAAGAAGGGTGCTCCCAGCCCATTCCATTCCCCAACGGGCAGCAGCACCCCTGACCGGCCCCGGGACCTCGCCGCACCTGCTCACGGCTGCACCCTCTGCCTCCTTCTCGGGGCTCTGGCCGCGGGACCTCAGACACCATGGCAGTGATCACTGAGCAGGCCTGGGGCGGAATGCAGCTGAAACGCTGCCCACCCTGCCCAGGGGCCTCACCAGGCACCTGCCAGTGCTGGAGGGCTACGAGGTCTGAGCAACCACGCCAGCTGACACTGGCCACGACGCTCAAAAGAGCCCTTCCACAGCTGTGGCCAGCTGTCCCATGTGTCTGGGGCACCCAGAGTTGCCCTGTGGCCCAGCATCTGCCGCTGCCCCAGGTTAGCGTGTTGGTACGGAACGCTGGCACACGTCACAGGAGCACACAGCGCCTGCGCTAAGGTCGAGAGAGCCCCAAGAATCTGGCCTGACACCCCACGTGTCCCGGCCCCATAGGGCGGCCTCCTCTCCCCAGTCTCCCATGTCCGGCCCGACCTGCATCACCCTCCACATGCACCGGCCCCAGGGACAGCACCCCTGCGGCCTCCCATGGACGAGCCTGAGGGTGACAGGACAGGATGGGGACAGGAGTGGAGGTCCCAGGGAATGAGGGCAAACTTGCTCATTGGGGGGAAGTCCCTCTGCCCCTTTCCCTCCTGAAGACCTGCGGGAGGCCAGCACGGACTGTGTCCAGGGACCCCGGGCCTGCACACAGGTCCAGGCCACACGGAGCAGGTGTAGCCGTGCTGTGAGCCCCGGGGACAGAAGAGGCGGAGGGCCTCATGCGGCCCTGCAGGAGCCTCAAGGGGGCCCCCCCACACCAGAGAGAGGTTTTGGAGGAACACGCCCTCGCGGGGGACAGACGCGATTGTCACAGTGCTTGGGGACTCCCGAGTTCAACCGTCTCTTCAAAGCTCAGACACCCTACACAAGCCTGTGCCCGCTGGAGATGCCTCTCGCACACTCGAGACACGTTTGCACAGCTGTGCCCATGAAGACCAGATCTTTGTTCTCCAACCAGAGAGGCAGGGTTACAGATAAGACCAGTGTTCACTTACAACCCACGACAGAGTGTGTCCAACGCAGCAAAACAAGACCACAGCTGTGACCCCGTTGCCGCCTGTCTGAGACCCAGCCGCGTGCACGCGTGAGGTTGCCACGGGCAGCCCATGGCCTGCACCGCCAGGAAACCCTCCTGGGTTTCCATCACCACACCTGTGCCAGGCCCGCCCTGCGCTCTCAGTGTTCCCAAGGTGAGTGCGACCAGGCTCAAAGGTTGGGAGCTGGGAAAAGGGGGCAGCAGAGCCCTGCACACCCTCCATGGGGCGGCAGCTGCCGGACCTCAGGAGCCTCCTGTGAGCAGGAGGAGGCAGGGGCTGCTCCGGGCTGTCACTACCGAGCCAGGAGGGCGACGGGCGGCCCCGGGGCAGGAAGCGACAGGTGCCTGCCATGCGACGGGCGGCCCCGGGGCAGGAAGCGACAGGTGCCTGCCATGCGACGTCACACATGGGAGCCACCTGCTCCACTACACAGCAGGCCTCACCCTCATTCCAATAATGCCCCAAGAAATGGCCAGCTCCACACAGCAAGTGCCCCCAGGCAGGGTCTCCCCCAGGCACGGCCCCCCAGGCAGGGTCTCCCCCAGGCAGGGCCCCCCAAGCAGGGTCTCCCCCAGGCACGGCCCCCCAGGCAGGGTCTCCCCCAGGCATGGCCCCCCAGGCAGGGTCTCCCCCAGGCAGGGCCCCACCAGGGAGGACCTCCAAGGCAGGGTTTCCCCCAGGCAGAGTTTCCCTCAGGCAGGGCCACCTCAGGTGGGGCCCCCCAGGCCGAGTCTGGAAGCTGAGGGAGGTGGGAGGCTGCACCCACAAGTGGGAGAGGATGCCTGTGGCTCCTGCCGCACTCAGTGTGACTGGCAGTCCCAGACAAGGAAGCAGGTGCCCAGAGGCACTTGGTCCCCAAGGCCAGGACGTGACCCCAGACCGTGGGCTCCTCACGGCCCCTCAGGGATGTGGCCCGCAAAGCCCTGACACCCATCCCCCCAGCCCCCACCTGCTCCCCGGCTGTGGGTGACTCAGAGTAGAGATGGGGCAGTGCCAGGAGATG